AATTTGAGAGTTTTTTACCAAAAAGGAAATTTTTTTATAAAAAGAGAAATGATTTTCAATTTCGAGGCAATTCAGCAGGTGTTTTAATAACAAATTGAGAAATGATTTCCATAGAAAATCTCGTGACAAAATATATAATAAATTTAAAAATAAATGATCAACAAATGATCAACAAAATTGTTACTAGTTTTATAAAAAACGCCCAATAATATCTTTTTATTGTTTTAAATAGCGTACCGCACTGCTCCTCTTTGAGAACCCAGATCCAATGTACGGCTTAAAAATTTTAATTCCGGTAGAATTAGGCTAATTTTGGCCATGTATTTCATAAAATACATGGGTAATACGTATATATAACTTTAAAATCGAAAAAAATATATACATAATGTACATATACAGTATATGTATGAAGAAAATAAAAATAAATAAAAATAAGAAAATATTTATGTATATTTTGGATGTGACCGATGTAGTAAAAATATTTTTAGTCGTTAACGAGGACGCCACAACAAGTCACGTGAAACCAACATTTTTTATCGAAACAAATAATCATGATCAAAAAAATTCATTAAAACATTCAAAATCTTTATAGTATTATTTCTAAAAATAAGTCCAAAATAACCAACTGGAGAAGCTTGTTTTAATGCTGCATATCTACCTTTTAACACTTCTGCGGATGTTCATCTTAACGTTTCATATTTATATTCTTTAATACAAAAAATATAATTTTCTGAAGAATAATTAATTAATGCTTGAGAAGGAATTTCAGCATCTTTAAGAGCATTCTTCATTCCTAATCCAATAATAAGATAAAATGATTGTTACAAATACCATTACAGGATCATAGCATGAGCTGCATCTCCTAATAATGTTACTTTTCCATACATTTACAGATAACGGATTAATATCTCTTCGTTGTACAGGATTATAAGTTTTAAATGGATATTTTTCTGGATCGGGAGTTGTTTTAGAAGCCAAATCCCGTATTATTAATATAAGAAATCTTTCAAAGGCAGGGTTTAATTGTTATGGTTGCGGTCTTAATTTTCGAATCATCTAGTGTTGCCTGCCGTAATAGTTGTAAGTCTAAAATGAAGTAATTATAATGGTTGTAAATCAGAATTATCATCTTTTAGTTAACCACAATAGCACAGTATTTACAACCAAATTACAACTTGTGTTTATAATATTACAACCCGCTTAGGTTGTAATTCAAAATATAATAATCAATACTCATGGCACACAACCTTAGAATCATCCTTTTAACATGTTCAACTACTGATACGGGATCATTATCATCAACTTTCACTTTTTCAACGTTATCGAATTTAGTAGGATAACTAATGGATATTGATGTTCTATAATGTGGTTTGTAATTCTATTCTTGCTCTTGGTCAATTGGAATTAAAAGAAAAAAAATAAATATGACATCTAAGGACAGATTAATTAAACTTTATAGAAATGCTTTATTTCATAACACTTTTAGGTACAGCTACTCCTGCATTAATTAGTGTTACTCCATAATCGAAAATTTGTAATTCAAGTAATTTTTGTTTTCGAACTAAAAGAAGATGAATATAAAACACATATTCAGTTGAAAATAAATAAGGGCGAATAAAATATATTTAAAATGTTTTATTTACCTGGAGAATTTATTCCATCTGCACCAACTAAAATGTCACAAAATTCTCGTGAACGATCTTTAAAAATACCAAAACACCTTCTTTAGTTTCTTCGTATCAAAACATTTTTTGCTCCATTGAACTGAAACATCTTCCGATAGAACGTCCCTAAATCTATACAATAACTGCAAGATTATTTGCTACTTCATAAACATTCTTAACTTGTTTAAACGGAGGTTTCAATAAAAGATTTCCTTTATGATCGGTAAATCGGTAACTGTAATACCATGAAATTCTAAGTCGGGAATTGGATTTTGCATTACTTTTGGAAGATTTAACCTATGACATATTGTTAAGGTTTGCAAAATATGTACTGTATAACTGTACCTTGAGGACTAGATTCGATTAGACTTTTGTTAAAAAATCTTTACGTTGAATTCTTTTTTGCTTATTAATGCATGATATAAAGTAAGCCCTCCCAGCCCTTGAATTTTTTGTTGTTGCATTTTAAAATGGTTTAATAATGAATACAGAAACTTACAGTATTTCTTGACAATTACGAGCAACACGAGTCGATTTATAAAGAAAAACTAAAGAAATCAATTAAGCAAGCCCAAAATTCATAACATGTGCTTTCAAACTTTTCTAAAAAAGGATCATGAATATAACGAGTATTATACACCAAAATTTGTCGCTCATTTTGCGTTGCTTATTATTTACAATGATTTAGACGATGAAACTTCCAACTCAGCTCATCTCAAAGAGCTCACGTGATTTCATTCATCCGATCGATGCAAGTTTCGGTCATTTGACTACTTTTCGGATTGGTTAACGACATTGTATTAAAAATTATTTTCCCCTTTTACAAACATCTCTCTAATCTTTAATCTCTTAACCCTTTAACTTTTTAAACTTTATACCAATCCCATCCCTCCTACCAAGGGACCACTTTGCTACAAGATACAGTGGTGTTAGGGTCGTACATTACACGATTTGATCAATGTTGTGGAACTAAAACGAGGTAAGTGACCTGTCATCTCATCATTGTAATTTATAGTGGCGTTAAATACTAATGGGTTGAATTTGGCAGGACCATGATAATGATCTATATATTTCGTTAAAGGAAGTAATGTCAAGTGCGCCCTAAAAAGGGTGACGTATAAATTCCTTAATTTCCTATTCGTTTTCTTGATAAATATGTTATTAATTTGTTGTTACGGTGGCCCGTGTTACTCATACATCGGTGCTCTTTAACTTTATAGATATTTTTTCGAGACGACATATAACGAGTGACAAAATAAAGAATATTTTCTCGTCATAACATTAATTTATGAAAAAATCGATAAATTTAATTTTAATACATAAAAATACGAAAAAATAATTATTTGGANTAATAATACGTTTTAATAACGTTAATAACAGTTTTGTTTATAGGCAGCTGGCACTGATGAGCACTGACGAACAGACCTAGAAATACCGGAATTCGGAATATTTTCTCGTCATAACATTAATTTATGAAAAAATCGATAAATTTAATTTTAATACATAAAAATACGAAAAAATAATTATTTGGAGGAATGATTAATTAATTTAAATTTAATATATATTTTAAATTTTCTTTCCTATAGTAACAAAGAAAAAGTTTTTTACAAAAAAAAAAAATATCTAAATACATCTCCAATTTAAAAAAAAAACATTGAAACATTGTAAAACGGATATTTCTAAGTTTAGAATTTCTGCATAAATAAAACTAACAAATACTTAATTACGTATTAAAATATTAAGTGAATTTTTCAAATTACCTTTCCTTTTATTTTTCTCCTATACAATCTTCACAATCCTCCAATGTATTCAAAACATTCTTTTTACTGGAAAGTTGAAAGGTTCTTTACCATCCCGGTTTCTGATAACTACATAGTTCGACCAGAGTCCGGCCTACTTCTTCCTTTCTTAAATACGTACGCTTTTAATACCACTTAAATGCTCTTTTCTGTGAAACACATTTGTATTTATTCAAGTAAGAAATAAACGTAAATCTTTCTGAGAAAACATTTTAATAGATAGTTCTTCACTAAAGGATTCAAATGTTCAAATGTTTATCTTCTATATCTTCTATTACTACTTCCTGATCTATGTATGATATGAGCGCTTTTTTCTAATAGTGAATTCTAGAATAAATATTTATGATATTTAATGAGAAATAATTTGTACGGTTATACTTTATATATTTTTTTTTATTGTATATTCTAATATTCAAATGTAAATGGGTCATACTTCCATATTGCCAAATATACAGTACTAAATGGATTATATGATATCCATTCAAATTTTTATCTGCAGTTTGTACAGTTATACTTTATATTTTTTTTTTATTGTATATTCCAATGACTTCCATATTGCCGAATATACAATATTAAATGGATTATATGATATACATTCAAATGTTATCGTTATATCATCAGTTTTTTTTTATGAAATCAACAATTTTTTGATTCACGCAAAGTCACATTCGTCACATTCGTCACATGACATCAACCGAATAGATGAATATTCTACGCATTTCTACAAAATGAGATCATAACGATCAACTTCAATATAACGATCAACTTCAATACTTCAATACCATATATTTTTTTTAAAAAAAAAAATTCTTTCCCTTAATAATACTCTGTCTCCTATAATTTTCTCCCCCCAAATATCATGTCACACAAACAATCAAATTAGAAAAGGTTAAATCCAAAATGTTTTTTTTTTTAACATTTACTTTAAAACAACATTATACAATATTAAAATAAATTAATGAATAAAATAAATAAATAATAAACATATCATAACATAAATATCTTCATTCATTAAATTATTTAAACATTTTTAATAAAATGTATGCAATCGCGAAAAAAGATTGTTACTCAATAGTGGCTTAGCGAACATATAAAACTGTAATTAAGAATATTCGAATTTTACTACCATATTAGTATTATATTCAAGGTAATAGTATAGCAAAAAAAAAATTTTCGGTTAATCGGTTAATATATAAATCCTGTATATGTAACACGAAGCAATTATATAATGTTTACAAATCGTACTTAAAAAAAAAAGATTAAACTTTAAAAAGAAAAAATATTTTAAAACATAAATTTTTTTATAATAGAATAACAAAAAAAAAATTTCTAAAGGAAAGGTAAAAAGTAAAGGTTTTTCAATAGGTCAATAATAATTTTTTTTTGATAATATATTTACACAACAATATTACTGGAATTCAACCTGTATTTTTTGATATTTTTTGGTACTTTCCTTTATAACTTTATTTAATTCTCTTTTAGTTTTTCCTTCCTTCTTAATATGATAATCTAAATTTTTTTTTCGTTTGTTCTATTTACTCCTTATACTTCTTATTAACTTTTCCATTTTTCTAATTGGTTCTCATCTTCAGACTGACAAATAATATTTTTAATCCAATGGTTATAAATATCTAATAAAGATTAAAATTTTTTTTTAGCATTTACAAGGCAATTCAACATTTGTGGTTGTATAATCAATTGTTGTAAATAATAAATGTTATCTTTAAACTGTCAACTTTAAATGCAAATAAATTTATTTAATAGATAAAAATTTGGATGCAAGTTAAATTTCAGGAACGGACTCAATAAATTTGTCAATCTAATCCATTATTACAAAAAATGACAAACTAAAATTCAAAGTTTATTATTTTTTGTAATAATGAGTCAAACTGACAATAATTATTATGTTTCATTATAATACTTATTTTTTTTAGTCATATCATTAGTTATTGCAACAAGGTGCATAAATTCACCATGTATCACGGATGTATCATTTAGAGTAAAGCTGTATTAGATTGTTGTATATTATTACAATATTTCCCTAATTCTTTTATTAAAAATGACACATACTACCTCAGTAATATGGTATTTGGCATGACTAGAGATGTGTACTAATAAAGAATATATAAGGAAAAATTTTTATACAAAGTCTATCAAAAATAATAACATACAGTCAAAAGGTTACACTTAATACCTTATTTAACTTATTAAGGGTTGATCTATATAACAATATATCTGGTATATATGTGTACAAATACATCACATATTATGACAGTTAATTTGCTTTTTTTTCTTGGTTTATATCATTAGTTTGTTCTAGATTAATATAAAAATTAAAAAATGTTAAATTATGAATCTATTTATGCAATATGAGCCATATTTATCATATTTATTTAATAAATTTGATTTTTTTTTTCATTCTTACATGGATTGTATATATAGTTTTAAAGTTTTTGTAATAATAGGTTATACTGACAAAAGTTGAGTATTTGTAGTGCACCTTATCGTGTCAGCCTGAGTCATATTATTTTTTATATTTAAGATCTCTAATTTTTCTCTCAATGAATATTGTTTAACAAATAATACTTTTGCTTAACAAATACTTTTGCTTAATAAATACTTTTATTGTTTAATAAATAATACTTTTGCTTAACAATTACTTTTAATCTACAAATACTTTTAATAAACATACAATCATGAGTATAGTAACTGAAAACTATATTGGATATGATGGTAAAAAAATTGTATAACTTCTAGCAAGATCTTTATTCACTTCTAACTAACCATTTGACCACTATAGCTCTTGTTTCTTACTTAAGTGAATCAAAAAATTTGTCTTACTGCAGATTTTTAAGCCTTAACCGAAATACCATCATTGCTTCATTAACCCAAATAACTAGCTCTTCATTAACACCAACAAAATGGCAAAGCTTTAACATTGCCTGGAATAATCGCTTTTTGGTTAAAGCAAAAGAACTGTTGGATACAAATACTTTTGTTGAATTAAAAAAAAAGGTGCGTTTGCTTTTATTTTGCAAAGTATGGGTAACTCCTAATACTCGCCGTGGTCACTTAGTGAGAATTACTGTTTTGACAACCTTGGTAACCACCCCAAGCTCTCAACTCAGGAGACCTTACTTTGTAGTTGATAAAGTCTGCTAATTCTGGAGGAGGAATTGGCTATGTACCTTCTTTATCACTAAATAAAATTTAATGCACTACTAATAATCTCTTCTTATATTAGGTAAGCACAGAACATTTGCGTTATATTAAATATTTACAAATATTTTGGCAAGAAGTCATTAAAGAATGTGATAAAGAATTTGAAAAAGAGAATCAAGTACTTGCTGAAACTCCACAACTAGATCTTTCAAAAAATAACCAAGAATATGAAAAGGAGAATCTCTTACCTACTGAAACTTCACTCATTAAAGAATGTGATAAAGAATATGAAGAGATTCAAGTACTTGTCGAAACTTCACAACTAAATGCAGTTAAAGTTACTGTTACAGAGGCATCATTACTTCCAAAAAGAATAGTTAAAATTTCTGCTAAAAATCATTCTGAAGTAGATTTATCTAAAAAGAATGTTGAACTTATTAACTTTTGTTATGATATACTTCATGAACTTGAAAATGAAACTAATGCTAATTTATTTTATAAATATGTTAAAAAGGATGTTAAAAATATGGGTATAAAATATCCAATGGACTTATTTACTATAAATTCAAAACTAAAGAATAATCAATACACAAGTTTAGAAGAATTTGAAAAAGATATTCGTTTAATATTTCGCAATTGCTATACATATAATAATGTTGAAAGTGAAGTATATTGTTCAGGTGAAATATTGGAATCTATTTTTAACAAAAAATGGAGTGAAAAGCTTATTTTTCAAGATAAACAAACAAGAGAACTAAAAAGATTAAGAGATAGTGATGCTGATGATGATACAGATAGATCCTGGAAGAAACAAAGTCAAATTTTAGAACAAAATAAAAATAATTTAATGTATAGACAGGTTATTAATGATGCACTACTTGTTACTTCAGCATATGAAAGTCTAATTATAGGTGATATTACACCTTTTATTGAAATTCTGAAGTCCTTTTTATTGACAAGATCACAAATGTCTTTATCTTCAGCAAATGAAGCTATGCTTCAAGCAATTGTTGAAATTCTTTTGCCATTAAAATATCGTATTCCAGAGCTTTCATTAGTAATGGATGGCAAAAAGTCAAAGGGATCAGGTCGTTTTGGTTATTCAGATATTTTTGTTTTAAAAGGAACAGGAAATAATTATATTAGTTTAGAACTAAAATATATTTCATTAGTTGGTTTAATAAGACTTAATCAGAAAGTTGAATTTGGTGCAAATGAATTAGAAAACTTAGATAAAATCCTTGAAAAGGAAAATGAAGAGATTTTATTAAAAAGACCATATGCATATTGGTCCAAAGAACTTAAAAAAACAAATCAGACAACTATAGGTGAGGTATTGGATAATGGTATAAGACAACTGGAATCATATATGAATACAATTGCAAAGGGAAAAGTTGCTGATTATTTTAGCTCAGGAATATTTGATAAACGTGTTAAAATAGTTAAATCAAATCCTAATAAATTAAAAGGATTTGTCATCTTAGTGATTGGTTTTCGTCGTATTTTATGGAAACCTGTTGAAGAAGTAATATCTAATTATACATATAATAAAATTTAAGGTATTTTAGCTTAATTAATAACCAGTAAAAATAATTATTATGCAGCCAAATAGGATCATGCTGTTTTTAACGTACTGATATTTTTCAGATTAAGTAGACTAAGTTAAACTTTATTGTACAAATATCATTATAATATTACTGATATTTTTTACACATTACGTCATATGGATTAAATATCACTTATATTGCTTTTATGATTTTTATAATAAACATGAATATTATGCTAAATTGATTTTTCTGTTAAGCTGAGAAATTATACCATAATCAAATAACTCTTTAAAGTGATCAACATTCATCGAAATTTCTAATTGTGGATTTGTATTAGTTAATTTTAACGGTTGTTTAATAGTATTTTGTTGATTTTCACGAGACTTTTCAAGTAAAGCTAAAATAAATTGTAACAAAAAAAAATTATAAAAAAAATCCAATAAATCTACACAATATTTTGTTAATAATTAATATTCTTTACCTTCTTTTGCAGTTTTAAAATTATTATCCTCTTTGTCCATTATTTGTTTATTATTTTCATTCATACATGAAATTTGAGAATTTACTATTTCTGCTGATTTTTCATTAACTGATAATAAAATGCAAATATTTAATAAATCTTTAAAAATCAATGAACAGCAATGTCAATATACCCGAAGTCAACTGCCTATGAACTTTATTCATTAACTGTCCAACAATCTCATTTTTTTTATTATCAGTAGGTAAAGTGTATGATGATAATCCAGCATCAGATCTATGGCAAGATATTAATTTAATATCTTCTTTTGGAATTCCCATTTTTTCACAATTTTGAATAAGTGCACGATGTCCAGAGTGGTTAGTAATCTTCCTTCCATTAAGATTTACGCCAGTAATTTTACAAATTTCATTTAAAAAAGAATTTAATCTTTTGGATCCTACATGATTTGGCTTATACCAGACACCAGTTCTTAATGCTAATGTATTAATAATAAAATAAATCAATTTTTAGTGTTAATTAAATATTAATAATTTGAAATATTACCAAATTGTTCTTCAATTTCTTGAAGGTAAAAATCAGGTTCTGCATAATGAGGATGTAATGATAAATATTGATCAATAAATGGAGTAATATCCGGATGGCTTGGTAAGGTTAATTTATCTGCCTTTCCTCAGCTTTCAGTAAAACCATGTTGATTATTCTTAGAACAATAAATAAAAACAGTGTATCCATCATCTTCACTTTTAACAAAATCAGTTGCATTAAGTAATGTATGTTCTCCACCACGAAGTCCAAGATAAATTGCATTTATAAAAAATACTCTTCTTAACAATCTTTCAGGCGTGGAGCCATCTAACAATCTATGATTTAAAATTTGGGTTATTTCATCAGCTTCTAATGAGTCTGATCCTTTGGTTTCACCTTTGCCATTATTAGAAAGATATCTAATCTTTTCATCTACAACTTTTCTTATCTCTTTAAAACGAACATCATTATATAAATCAATACTTTTAATTTTTGAATTATCTTGAAGGAAGCAGTTAATAGCTGCAAAAGAAGCTCTAACAGAATTAACAGAATAGTCGGAACCATCTTTTTTACTCATATTAGCAAAATAAGAACACAATTTTTCAATTAAAACTTGTTCATTTTCTACTTCTTGAATTTGACCAATGTATAATTGTTCTTTTCGAAACTTCTCTAACAAACCCATCCAATTATTTGTCACGTTGACTGTATTTTTAACTTTTGAAAATTCACGATAAAATTCAACTTTTTCTTTTAGAGAAGCAGAAGTTTTCAAACTATCCTAAAACATAAAATATAGATATTGTTAGAAAACAAAAAAAAAAGCAAAATAAAGCAAAATAAATTAAAGGTGTACAATACCTTATTTCTTTACTTTTCAAATTTATTTGCTTCGTTTGTGACATTTTAGTTAATATAACCCTATAAAAAAAGAAAATTCGGAATTTGTCCTGAAAAGTATAGGAAATGTCCGGAAATTTTCCATGCATCCGGAAAACATTTGGAAACGGTCACGTTTTGGAACACTTTCCGGACACACAAATTCCAGACATTTTCTTGACACTCCAGAATTTGTCCAGAATTTGTCCAGAATCGAGCGTCCGGAAAATGTTCCAAAACGTGACCGTTTCTGAATGTTTTCTGGACGCACGGAAAATTTCCGGACATTTTCCATACTTTTCAAGACAAATTCCGAATTTTCTTTTTTTATAGGGTAAGTATAAAAGAAAAGAGACAGAGAATAAAATAGTTTAAAAATAGTTTAAAAATAGCTTAAAATATTATTCTCGCACTATGTATGATATAGTAATGATGTCATAAAAGCATGATCATCAGTGTCTACATAATAACACAGTTATTGGGTATGGTGGTTAAAATATCATCCGAACTGCTGCGCAGTTCGGTGATATTTCAACCCCCCTACCCAATAACTATTATATATTTCATTACATTTCATTCATTCCAAAATAATCATTCTTTCTGGCTGAAAATTTTGAGGGTGGGTGTTCTGCCTGTGGACTCCATTATGGACTATTGGATATATTGAAGGGGAGGTCTAAATAAAAAAAGCATATAATTTATTTGCATTTATAAAAATAAACTTTTATTGTTTTTTTTTAACATACTTTTTTACAAATTAAAATTTTAAATTGCTAAAATATTTAGTAGTTGTATTGAACCTGAATTGATGTAATCATAAATGTTTTAATTATTGTAAAGCGATTTTATTATCCCAGATTTTTTACTATATATTTCTAAACAACTAACATTTTGCACAATTTTCAATTGTACAATATCCAATTGGATGCTATTTTTATTTTACAAGTTTATTATACAAGATTACTATTTATTATGAAATATAAAGCAAATAATTTCTAACAAAATAAATATATTGACAAATGTTTTTATTTTACTCAAATTTTGTAAATGGCTGTCAAAATGCATTGGAGCAAATATTGACCAACAAGAAAAAAATGGTGAGCTAAGGATTAGTAAGGTAGGATTAGGGTTAGCGGATCCATTCACGGAAAATATAAATAATTCGATAAATTCTAAGGTTATTAATTCTGGAAATATGAGCCATTTACGGAAAGATGGAATATAAAAAATGGATTGACTTTTTTTACAGGGATTAAACTTTTGCGTCACTTCAGAATATTGATTACATTGCGCACTATTAGGCCTTTATCCTTCCCGGATGGTCAACAATACCATATTCCTTTACTACTAATAATGTAATTAGTCCAGAGTGAAGCGAAGGACTAAATACTATTCGTGTCAGTTTCACAAATATCCCGTTGTCCGCCCGCTCACTGTGTGAGTCAATGGCATTCATTCGTATTGGTTCTTTTGGTTATACGTTACTCTTTATTTATGCATGATAAAATAGAACCTATTTATATAATGAAAATATACGATAATTTTGTTTAAACTGAATTTTATAATGACGAAACATCCTTTTTTTTGATATTTCAATTAAATTTATCGTGCTTAATATTGTTTAATTAAGATTTTGCTTTTCGCTCCGGACTTCCAACAGTTACCGTTCCCTAGTAATTAGCATACTATTGCAGAATATACGCATAGCTAAGATTAGATAGCTTGCCTTCTAATTAAGAAAGAAACATTTGAGTAACAACCCTTTCTTAGAGATATCTGGTCATTGTAACTTTAGTTTTTATGCAAGAAGTCAATAGTCAGAATAGAGGGCTTGAAATGGATTTTAAGATTACGGGAAATATTGAAAATTAACTAGTAGCTAGAATAGTTTTGAGCACATTTATTATGTATCTCTTTACATTTCTCTGCTTAAATAAATAAATAAATCAGAAATAAGTTATTAAAATAATTGTGAAAACAAATAAGTTATCAAAATCAATAATAAAAACTTATCAGATTATCAAAAAAACTAAGAAAACTATTCTATGCCAACAGATAAAGAGATTATAGTTAGTCCGTCCAGGAAACCGATGATTCATCTTTATTGTCAGTGTTACTGTTAGAAATGAGATGTAATTTAATAATATATTACAAAATTTACATTACGTACCTTAAAAAGTCAATATTAAAATCTTGTATCATGTTCTCATTCATTCTCCTTTTGTTTTGAATTTGGATACCATTACGTTACGTTGCGTATAAATAATATAACCAATGAAAATTAAAATCATTAAACTAAATTTATACGTTTACTTACATAATTACCTTTAATTGGTAGGTTTTACTCATTCAAACCAAGTTTTTATAATAATATTTATAATGATAAAAACAAAAAAAAAAAGGATTGTATCTCTGTGATGATCACTTTATTAAAGATAGAGCGAAACTTCTTTTGGAAAATCGTCATACCATATTTTCCAATTTTGTCATTAAATGGTTGTCAGGAGCAATGATTATTATATTAATCATCAACGCCATAATAATTGTTACCAGTATTGTATAATAATCATTTTGAACTTTACATTTGTGTGCTGAATAAATTTCAAATCACAATCAAAAAACGTAAATAAAGTGGTAGATTATTATTTTCTACATCTTTAGAAAAATTTTGTAGAAAATGACGTATCATATGATATCAGAGACTCGCTTTATTGGTAAAAAACTGGTTAATTTTTTGTCATTAGGAGCATGCGATTCTACGCCTAGGAATTCTTTCAAAGAAAACTATATTTATCGTTAAATAACAAATATTAACGATTTTTTTTATATAAACAATGTATGTATTCCTTCCTGTACAAAATTTAACAAAATATTAACAAATAAAATTTTAAAAATCTTAAATTCGACTAAAGACTACTCTATCTTATTACTTTATCACAATGCCAAAATTTATTCTTATTACCTTGTTTCTTACCTTTACTTTGGCCTGGGTTACTCAATCTATTCCTGCCATAAATTACCTTGAACATGCTACTGAACCTGCCAAAGAATTTTTCTATTTTCCTTCAAAAGTTAATCGAAAACTTAATGAATGCAATTATTGCCCAGTAAAAAGTCATTGTATAAAAATCGTGCAGTTTTTGTTTTATTTTTGTAATAATTATCTAGTTTTTGTTTAGTATTTGTATAATTGAATAAAATCGCATTTTTTCATAAAATTTAATCATATGATTATTGTAGGCTTTTCGTAACATTATTAATATTCTGACATTTAATATTAAATTAAATTTTATTTCGTAAACTTAAATGTGTGATTATTGTAGATTTTTTATAAAGTTATTAAATTCTAAATAGAAATTGTACAATTATTTAATATAGATTTTTGAAATTTGTTTGAAATTTGTACTATTTATTTAATTCGTGCAATTACTAATTACTTTCACCATTTGAAATTTTGAATCTATATCACTCTCACATCAATAAATTGCTCAACTAGCGTATTTTTGCAATATCTTTGTTATATGGTGAAAATTAATTAATGGAATATCATATTCTATATGTAAAAAATACACAAATTTAAAAATTAGAAAAATATGCTAAAATATTATATCAATATATATATATATAGTTTAAGAATCATAAACTTTGTAGCCACGCTCAATTAAGGCAATGTATTACTAGACCTACACTAAAGATGACTTTAGCAAGGCTTTCTTTGAGAATTAAAGAAATTTCATACAATTTGCCAGCTGGTGGGATAGCTTATGACCTCTAACCTCAAGTCTGTTTATACTAATAAACCAGAATATTTGCATACTAATAAAAAGTATAGTTAAGGTACTTCAAAGAATGCCTAAAAAGAAAAAAACAAATAAATGAACATTAGAAAACATTCATCAAAATTAAAAAAAAAGATAAATAAATACAGATGATCCCAGAAAAATTACAGCCGAATATAAGGGATATGATCAATATACTAACCAAATTTTACGTGTCATCTAGATCCATCTAAAGGAAACCTTTGGCATTTTAGGCAATTACAAGAGACTTTTAATCCTTTGTTACTTCTATTTTTTCTTTTTCTTTGACAATTTTTTGTAATCATTTTTTTTTAGTTTGTTATTTTGATAATTAAAATTTTGATAATATTTTTAATGATTATAAATGATATGATTTAGTTTAAATAATAAAAATTCTAAGCACTGTATAGAAATAATAATGTCACCATAAATAGTCTAATTATGAAATAAGTAAGGCAAATGATGCAATATTAGCTAGGAAATTATGTAATGTTTCAAAACAATCAACGATTGTTAAAATTTCCAGCTGTGCCACATTCCTTATTAATGATAAGAAAATCAACAATGGGCCTATATATTAATAATAGGATAGGCGTAAATACTGCGCCACCAAAATTGATATATAGTTTAAGCATAATTTCGTGATTATAATGATTACAACTTTTATCTTTTCTTCCAAAGCAAGAAAAAAAAAATAAAATAATTTCATATAAGTTTATATTATCAAGTTATTTAATATTCACTATTTACTATATTATCTAAAATGGAATATAATGATAGTGAAACAACTGAAACATCCAACTCTGAGAGTAGCTCTTTTAACAGTGAATATGAAGAAAATGAAACGTCCAAAAAAATTGCTGAACTTAAACAAGAAATTGCAAAACTAGAAAATACTAACAAAATAAAACAGAAAAAAACAAAAAAATTATTAACATTAAATCAACCAAAAATATCAGAAGCCAAATCAACTGATAGTAAATTAGCAATGAAAATAAAAAAAGGATCGTTAAATTGAAAAAATAATACAACAAAAATGAAAAAAAGATTATAAATCAAAAAAGTGATACTGCTGAATTCTCTAGCAATGAGCCTGAACAGGTAAAATTAACTAAAACATTACATATTTACATACATATTTTTTGGGTTTATTACTGATTATTACTGTATTTATTTTTATTGCACGTCATATAGCCAATTTCAAAAGGAAAATATAAACACCAAAACATTTCTTCTTATCTTCATATACCAAAAGAATTTGGCATGGTTATATGGTATTGTAATGTTTATAATTGTATTTTTTTTTAAAAAAAAATTGTTCTCTAAAAATTGCAGGAGTTTATGAGACTTTTAGTAGCTGAAAAGCTCTATCCTTTATGCCCTACTACTGAATATCATGATATGCCTCTTAGTGAAATTAATAAATGTATTGATAGGGTAAATAATTGGCATGAATTTATTAGTTTGATTTTTTTTTAACTTAATGTTTATTTTTTATTTGTTTAATTTCGAAAAAAATCCATCTTTTCCAGAACTGTAAGTGATTGGGAAGAACGTGAGATGATCCGTCGGCATATTAATTATAAGCGTAAGTCATATGTTTAATTTTTAAATCGATCAGCAGAATTGTTTAACAATACTCTTTTTTTAAACATATAGGATCAACTCTTAGTGATAAAACTCAAAAGACACTTAAATCTCGTAAACCAAATGGAAATAGCAAAAGATTTAAGAGAAAAGTGGTTGAATCTAACGATGAAATCAATGAAGAAGAACAACAAACAAGCGGATCAACTTTATCAACAAAAAATTGTGGTAATTTTTAAATATTATATGAATTTTTTTTTGTAAATTAATCAATGAATTATATAATATTTCGAAATTATAGCATTATTACTGTAGAATGCCATTATTGGAATTTAACAGCTCAAATATAAAAAGTTTGGAAGAACTTAATAATGAACCTTCACAAAGTAAGTATAAATTATAATGCATTTTATAGATTCTTAACAAATAATTAACTAATAATTATATTATATATTGAAAGCAGTTGATAGAGTAATACAACAAAAAAGTGATGTAGAACAAGAAACTGATCAAGAAGTTTCACAAGTTAAAGATCATGGTAACAAGCATAAAGCAACACATAATAATGAAAAACAAAAAGAAACTTCTCAAGTAATACGTTCTAGTTGCAAGTGTAACGTAATACAACAAAAAGGTGATGAAGAACGAGAAACTGATGAACATGAAGATGATCAAGAGGCTCCTCAAGTAAAACATTGTGGTCGCAAGCGTAAAACAACACAAAAATTACATAATATAAAAAGCAAGAAGAAATCCTTCAAGTAAGACGTTCTAATCGTAAATGTAATATAACACAACAAAAAAATGATGATAATAAACAAGAATATAATAAGAAGCAACGTAAAAAATAGTTTTATTAATTATTTTTAGTATAGTACTATATTATCTATATTTTATAGCAAAATTAATACATATTTAATATATTATTCTTACAAAAATCTAATAAATAATATACAAATTTATTTCAAATTCTAAATAAAAATTCTACATATTTATTACAAATTTCGTATAAATGGATGCTCATAATTGTATTAAATTCATTATACTAACATATTTTACATTTTTTATACAAAAACTTGATAGAAACTTTTTACTGGGTTGTGGTGGATTCTATCCCCAATGTTGTGCGAATTTATGTGGTGTCCTCGGTTACAAATATTATCAATGTCTTGAATGCAGTTGCGGTTGTGGGAATTGAAAATTTCACGTAAATTATAATTATATTTTATTATTTTCTTAGTATTTACTTGTCTTGTTTGTCTTATTATTTTTTCTTATTGTTTCCTTATGTTTCTTTATTATTTTTCTTTCTCAATGTAAATAACAAAAAAAATGTTATTATAGGGAGAGTCATGTGAATAACATGTATTACAATATAATGGGATCATTGATAAAATCTTTGTCACGTACAAGTATTAATCAATCACTCCTAACTTATCCCTTAAACGGTAGCAATAGTAACATTTATTATTTATCTTTATAGGATCACACTGTATTTTTTTTACATTTATTGAATAGCTTTATAGCTTTATTGATGATATATATAATAAATGAATACTGTTTAAATCATTAAAATACATAATTAATAGTGTGATCGTGAGAATCTATATAATAAAACACTTATTGTATGCAATAACGTTCGTGGTATAATCTGAGCCAATCAAATGGCCTCAATTGAAAACAGCACGTTATTGCCTAAATACTATACAATAATAATTAAATATCTAACGAGAGCCCCTGAATACACTGATAAAGACCTCGTTGTACAGATTTTATAATTTAATGAAGTTCTTATTGTACGGATATGAAAAGTTGGCCGAAGTTTAGGATACGGATTTAAACAAACAATGATTTATTTTGTTGTACGGATTTACAATAATAATTACATCGCGCGTACAGATTTATTCTAGAATTAGGGGGTTCGACGTACAAACTCATAAATATACTTTTTATCATGTTTTTTTTATCAGTTAATTTATTATAAATATGAATCTCAGCAAAAGAAGTAATTCAAATTCGCCCAAAATGCTAACATAAGTAGAAGTGAAGTATTGATAGTATTGATGAAATCAAAAAAAAAAATAGCCAAGAAAAGAAAAAAGTTTGGTGTATAGAAATGTGATTATTAAAAAAAGTTCAGTGTACGGATAAATATAAGGCCTGAAGTTTAACGTACGGATTTATAAAATTGGTTTGTACGGAGGTGGCCTTTTCCGCGGAAGTTTCATCAACTGGAGAAGCTTGTTTTAAATGCTGTATATTTTAACACAACACGGACATTCGTTTTAGCATTTCATCCTTAAAATTCTTTCTCAAGCATTACTTAATTATTCTCCAGAAAATTATATTTCTTGTATTAAAAAATATAACATCTTTAAAAGCATTCTTCATTTCTAATCCCAGTATAGGATTCATAGCATGAGCTGCATCTTCTAATAGTGTAACCTACTGCTTTCCCATGTATTTACAGATAATGGATTAATATCTTGTAAATTTCTTCGTTGCATAGGATTGTAGGCATTAAATGGATGATTGGGAGTTCTAGGAGCAAGTCCCACATTTCTAAAAAAATATTAGTCAATTCACATTCTGGTCTTATCACCTTTTTAATATGTTCAATTAATGATAAACTTTATGAGGTTCAAAGTTATCTAATTTAGTAGGTACCTAATGGATTTTTGATACTTTATAATGTGGTTCATAATTTTGTTCTTGTACTTGTTAATTTGATCGGAGGACATCTCCATTTAGCCAAAGAAATCTTTGAAATATTGCATTTCCACAAAGTTTAATCAACCTGTATGTGAGACAAAATATTCTATTTACGAATCCACATATGTGGATGCGGGTAGAGTTTGGAACCGGATGCACCATCCAGTTTTTAAACCGGTTCTACCCGTTTTTTTTACGATTCGGTTCAATCCGGATTCATGCTGCAAAAACCGGTTTGCGTTTAAAGCGAGTGCAACCAGGTGCTCAACCCGGCATGATATCGAAACTTTATAGTGCCGGCCCGAATTACGAAATTATAAATCACGTGATACCGGGTAAATAGTTTAGCCACCGGGATTTTTATCAGTTATAGAAAATTATGGNGCCGGCCCGAATTACGAAATTATAAATCACGTGATACCGGGTAAATAGTTTAGCCACCGGGATTTTTATCAGTTATAGAAAATTATGGTACACAAATTCGTGAATTGTGTTACACAAGTTTTGTAATTCTGGCCGAAATTATAAACTCGGCCAATTATATGCCGATCACATTTAATTCTGGCCAAAATTACAGTGTACTGTACACTTGACAAATTCATGCAGGTTGTCAGCAAATAGAATTTTGTAATTTGTCACGTGTCCCGTACATTTTGAAATCTGATGCAAAAATGGAAACTCTAATCCAGGATGTATGATAGATCATAGTAGAATTCCATAAGTTAACTGAAAACCAGGAACGTACTTTATTATTTATTTATTATAATTAAACAAATATAAAACCGGGTACAAAAATCGGTTTCAACCGGGTTTGTAAAACCCGATTTGAAAAGGGTCGAACCGGTTGCACCCGTTTTAAATCCGGTTTCCAAAAATACAACCGGTTCCAAACTCTAGATGCGGGATGTTGGCCAGAATTAAAGCATAGTGCCGTAATGCCGGCCAAGATCCAAGAATCTTCTTTTATATTTAGAATGATTTTCTTACTAAATTGGTAAATAAAATTAATCATTTTCTCAAAATATTCAATCAAGAAACTTATAAATTTTAATAAAAAAATGAACCTTAATATACTAATAAAATCTCGAATTATATGAATTACGAGTTCGGTCAATTTTATATAAATAGGTACATAATATCGTTTTTGTTTTCCTTCATTAACTTGTCAAGTATTTCAGTTATAAACCATTTTAAAATTTTAAAATATAACAAAAAATTCCAACTATAATTATTATCAGTGCAGGTCTAAGAGGGCTTCCCTTTATCATACTTTGATAAAAAACAGATAGAAAAGAATTCAACGTAAAAATTTTTGAACGAGAATCCGGTCCTCAAGGTACGGCATAATATTGATTTTGGAAACCTAAAATACAGTGCATCATGTGAATTGTAACTAACTCTGACTGTTTTGTTTTAAAAAGATTGATGGCAAGGATTTCATATAACTTTAAACAGTAAAGGAGTACAATCACTTTAAATCGCATTCCCTCTTCAGTTGCTTCAAATCTTCCAAAAGCAAGCCAGTTTCCGACTTGGAATTTCATGGCCATATAAATAAGTCAAGGATGTTTATGAAGCAGAAAATAATCTTGCAATTATTATAGCTTATCGCGAATGTTCTATCAAGTAATGTTCCAGTTCAGTGAGTAAAAAATGTATTAGATACGAAGAAACTAAAAGTGTTTGGGTATTTTTAGGATTGAACGAGAGAATTTTGAGACATTTTAGTTGAGTAAATTTAATATATTATATATATCATATATTCCTTATATGTTTATTCTGATTAAATAATTTAATTTCTTCCCTTTTAGTTTGAATAACTAAACTTGATGCAGATGTAGCAGTAATCATAAGTCATAACAAAAAAAAGTATAAATTTTACTTAGTAATCAGAAAGTAAGAATTTACAGATTTTTACTTAAATGTCGATCAAAAAGTGATTCCTTCGTTAGGACGACTTTAACTTTTTCTTCATTCATAAAACTTTGCATTATATTTCCTCATTTATTTCTTGACGCCAATATTAATGTCTCGAAGACAATTTTACTTTTAAGCACCAACATCTTCTTTGTGTTACTAGCCTTGGAAAATTTTTTTTACACGCGCTAGATTAAACCTCACTATTATCGACACTCTAAATATACTTGATAAATTGTAATCGTTAATTCATTGCTAAGTGCAAGTAGCCGACAAAATTCAGCCATATTAATTTGAAATCGTTAAATGTAATTGAAAATAGAACCATAAATGTATTAGTATAACTCGGGTCGTTGATTTGTAAGATAAACTAATAGTTAAATTCGCAAATATAATAGATCGCAAAAATATGTCCGCAGCCGGAATAATATTACGGCAGATAATGTCAATAGAGATAATTACGCAGTAATTACTGTTGTCTGTATTAGCAATCAATCACTTTAGAAATCACGATCCCGATTATCACCGAACTATTTTATCAATTTTAATAATGATTCACATTCAATTTTCATAAATCAGGAAAGGAGAAATAAAAAAATCTGTAATGAAAGAAAATGGAAAATAGTTTCAGCGTGATTCAGCAAATAATTTTTAACTTATTTCATATATTTAAATACCTTACCGCGCTGCTAAAGATACCCCCTTTGAGAATACCCTCACGTCAAAAGACCCGGATACAATATACGGCTTAAATTTTAATTCTGGTAGAATTAGGCTAATTTGGCCATGTATTTCACAAAATACTCACTGTATATATACATTATGTATATATATATTTCGATTTTAAAAATTATATATTACCCATATGTGTATGAAAACATAAATATTTAAGAAGAAAATAAATAAATATTTATGTACATTTTGGATGTGACCGATGTAGTAAAAATATTTTTGTGGTTAACGAGGGTGACGCAATAAGTCACGTGAAACCAACATTTTTTATCGATCAAAAAAATTCATTAAAACATTCAAAATTTTTATAGTATTATTTCAACTGGAGAAGCTTGTTTCAATGCATATCTACCTTTTAACACTTCTGCGGATGTTCGTTTTAACATTTCATTTTCATATTCTTAAATACAAGAAATATAATTTTCTGAAGAATAATTAATTAATGCTTGAAAAAAAATTTCAGCATCTTTAAGAGCATTCTTCATTCCTAATCCAATAATAAGATAAAATGATTGTTACAAATACCATTACAGGATCATAGCATGAGCTGCATCTCCTAATATTGTTACTCTTCCATATATTTACAGATAACGGGTTAATATCTCTTCGTTGTACAGGATTATAAGTTTTATTAATAAGTGGATATTTTTCTAGATCAGGAGTTATTTTAGGAGTCAAATCCCGTATTATTAATACAAGAAATCTTTCAAAGGCAGGGGTTTGATTGTTATGCTTAAATAATCGGTTGCGGTCTTAATTTTCGAATCATCCTTTTAACGTTCAACTACTGATACGGGATCATTATCATAAACTTTTATTTTTTCAACGTTATCGAATTTAGTAGGATAACTAATGGATATTGATGTTCTATAATGTGGTTTGTAATTCTATCCTTGTTCTTGTTCAATTGGAATTAAAAAAAATAAAAAATAAATATGGCATCCAAGGACAGATTAATTAAACTTTGTAGAAATGTTTTATTTCATAACACTTTTAGGTACAGCTACTCCTGCATTAATTAGTGTTACTCCATAATCGAAAATTTGTAATTCAAGTAATTTTTGTTTCGAACTGAAAGAAGATGAATATAAAACACATATTCAGTTGAAAATAAATAAGGGCGAATAAAATATATTTAAAATGTTTTATTTACCTGGAGAATTTATTCCATCTGCACCAACTAAAATGTCACAAAATTCTCGTGAACGATCTTTAAAAAATACCAAACCACCTTCTTTAGTTTCTTCGTATCCAACACATTTTTTACTCCATTGAACTGGAACATCTTCTGATAGAACGCCCTAAATCTATACAATAACTGCAAGATTATTTGCTACTTCATAAACATTCTTAACTTGTTTAAACGGAGGTTTCAAGAAAAGATTTCCTTTATGATCGGTAAATCGGTAATTGTAATACCATGAAATTCTAAGTCGGGAATTGGATTTGGCATTACTTTTGGAAGATTTAACCTATGACATATTATTAAGGTTTGCAAAATATGTACTGTATAATGTACCTTGAGGACTAGATTCGATTAGACTTTTGTTAAAAAATCTTTACGTTGAATTCTTTTTTGCTTATTAATACATGATATAAAGTAAGTCCTCCCAGCCCTTGAATTTTTTGTTGTTGCATTTTAAAATGGTTTAATAATGAACACAGAAACTTACAGTATTTCTTAACAATTACGAAAACACGAGTCGATTTATAAAGAAAAACTAAAGAAATCAATTAAGCAAGCCCAAAATTCATGATCCAATCAAAACATGTGCTTTCAAACTTTTCTAAAAAAGGATCATGAATATAACGAGTATTATACACCAAATTTGCCGCTCATTTTGCGTTTACAATGATTTGGACGATGAAACTTCCAAATCAGCTCATCTCAAAGAGCTCACGTGATTTCATTCATCCGATCATGCAAGTTTCGGTCATTTGACTACTTTTCGGATTGGTTAACGACATTGTATTAAAAATTATTTTCCCCTTTTACAAACATCTCTCTAATCTTTAATCTCTTAACCCTTTAACTTTTTAAACTTTATACCAATCCCATCCCTCCTACCAAGGGACCACTTTGCTACAAGATACAGTGGTGTTAGGGTCGTACATTACACGATTTGATAAATGTTGTGGAACTAAAACGAGGTAAGTGACCTGTCATCTCATCATTGTAATTTATAGTGGCGTTAAATACTAATGGGTTGAATTTGGCAGGACCATGATAATGGTCTATATATTTCGTTAAAGGAAGTAATGTTAAGTGTGATGGTCAGCGCCCTAAAAAGGGTGACGTATAAATTCCTTAATTTCCTATTCGTTTTCTTGATAAATATGTTATTAATTTGTTGTTACGGTGGCCCGTGTTACTCATACATCGGTGCTCTTTAACTTTATAGATATTTTTTCGAGACGACATATAACGAGTGACAAAATAAAGAATATTTTCTCGTCATAACATTAATTTATGAAAAAATCGATAAATTTAATTTTAATACATAAAAATACGAAAAAATAATTATTTGGAGGAATGATTAATTAATTTAAATTTAATATATATTTTAAATTTTCTTTCCTATAGTAACAAAGAAAAAGTTTTTTACAAAAAAAAAAAATATCTAAATACATCTCCAATTTAAAAAAAAAACATTGAAACATTGTAAAACGGATATTTCTAAGTTTAGAATTTCTGCATAAATAAAACTAACAAATAC